TTCTTCTTTCTCCAAATTTATATTTAGGAGTTTTTTTTGAAAAAAAAAACATAATCAACCGATTAATTAATATACAAGCAACAAAAAGTATTAAAACCCTAGTCGTGCCCGTGTGGGACGTTTTGCATTATTTGAAGCCCTACCAATCTTTGCCGGGGGCCCTAAATATTGCTTGCCTAAACATGGCCTAACGCTAAACAGGTTTTGGGGGGCCCTTTTCAGGGGGATCCTACCCGTTGGCACTTTGTTCCCCCGGTCTTTTAGCTTGTGTGATGTCCTGATGGGGCAACTTACTTCTACCTACAATAGAGTGGGTTTATTTATAATTCCCTGGAGTATGGGAGCTTAAAAGCCTCTGGACAAAAAATGGGTACCGGTAAAGACCTGGGAAGTGAAGGGGCCCGGCATGTGTTGATCACTTCAACATCAATGGGGCTCCTGTGTATCCAACAAAAAATTGATGCAAAAATTCACGGGCACTAAATAAGGTTTGTGATTCATAGTTTGACAATATATGGTAGGTTTTGTCAAATTTTGTGTCGAATGTTAAAGAGGGCGAACAAAATTCATGATAAAGATGTTGCGCGGCGGAGTGGTGAAGATGACTATTCAAAACTGAACCAAAATTCAAAAACAAAAATCTCTTTTCAAAATTGTGCGTTGTCTGACAAGAAATCTTGGAAGCAAAAAACTGTGCTATCCAAAACAAAAGACGTGGGCTGTTGTCCTCTAGAATTGTGCTTTTCCACGATAATGCTCGACCGACTGTGGCAGATGGAACTGTTCAATTGTTGCAACATTTCAGGGGGATATTTGGACCATCCCCCCTACACCCCAAATCTGGCCCCCAAAATTTTATACTTTTTTTCATGCACCTAAAGAATGGCTAAAAATCCCAGAGCGGAAAATGTGAACGAAAATGTGTGGTTCAATTTTGCTTGCAATAAATCTTTTTTGTGTGTTATGGAATTTATTTTTTCGATGCAATACCAAGCCTTTCTTAAGAGACGGGCCTCATACATTTTGTCACTGATGTCTTCCCATAATTCTAGCTGAGGCATAGTTTAACAATTTCTAGCATCACCGTATCGATCAATTCCTGTAGTTCTTTCTGATTTCTCCCTATCAGGACGGTATCATTAGCAAAAACAAGGTTGCTTATTTTATAATCACCAATCACAATTCATTGAATATCCAGGACAGATTTCTTTCTATTTCCACTGTATAACGAAAACAAATTAGATGGTGATGCACGTCCTTGTCGTACAGACCTATTTATGCTCGCAAATGTTACTAGAATAGTTTTTTATTCTTATATTTGCTGTTTGCTGCCCACTTTTCACGCTATCAAAAGCTTGTGCATAATTTAAATAGACATACAAAAAGTGCCCCGGGTACTGCCGGAAAAATAACCCGCATATATTCACATGTCAAATATCCATTTAAATAATAAAGATTATAATTTTTGGTGTCCCCTAAAACAGCAACAGGGGCACTCTAGCGAACCTTCTTTGAGGAGACGGCACTGCAAACATTTTCCAAAACCTGAAGGTTTATAAATATATATACAAATGGAATATAAACGTTCAGCTATTGTTGGAAGTGCACGCGATATCATGAGACAGAAAACAGTTCTAAAAAATGGAGTTTACCAACTTGTCCTGGGAACACATGATATAATGCCTGGTAACGACCAGCTTGATGGCACGACTCAGACCATTATCTTTAGCAGTTTAACCACTTCGTTGAACTCACCCGGACTCCGGAGCTCACGGTACAATGCCGACGATAATCATTGAGATATGTCGGGATTTGCCGAAGATAAGTCCGAGAGTATGCCGATCTCTCGGAGGCGGGTCTGTTCCAAGTTGAGGGAAGGTAAGGGCTGCGGAGTTAGACTCCGGGCGGAAATAGAGAGTTATCTAAAGTTTTTTGTTGAGTGATGATGGGTTTTTCAAGCTCGGACAATGACTTATGGCGGTAATTTGACGGGGACACGTGGAAAAAAGACCCATACGAGCACGATGATGTTAATGGATGGTACCAGGCTGTTCACATTCTTTTAAATGTTTTCACGCAGAGAAGAGTGTTCGTGTCTGAGTGGGGAGAGGACCACTTCTCCAAAAAACGTTCACAATAATGAGTATATATAGGGAACGACCAGGGAATCGCCGATCAAATCTAAAAACCAATTCAGATTGTTCAAGAACAAAACTTTTCAATGAAGTCTCCTGTCTCTTCTTCTTTTCTTTATCACTAGGTCTGTACAAAGCTTAGATCTATCTGCCGAATCAAATGGGAACAAGTAACAAAACAGACAACACTCCGGGCTCATCCTCAGTTTCACAGGCGACATACCGGGTAAATGAAAGAGTAGACTGCGTGGCAACAGAATGGCCCTAGCACAGCCATTCACAGAATGAACGTTCTTCAGCCTCAAGTGCACAACCTTCTGTCTCATGCACTTTCAGTCAGTTCTGATGTCAAGCTGTCCAATATCTCCACTCCCGGTCACTCTCTGCCTCTCTTTCTCTGCAAATTTCCCATGTATTACAGTTTTCCCACTGTCACTATATACTACAATTTTCCCACTGTCACAATGTACTACAGCTTTCCCACTGTCACACTGTACTACAGCTTTCCCACTGTCACAATGTACTACAGCTTTCCCACTGTCACAATGTACTACAGCTTTCCCATTGTCACGATGTACTACAGCTTTCCCACTGTCACAATGTACTACAGCTTTCCCACTGTCACAATGTACTACAGCTTTCCCACTGTCACAATGTACTACAGATTTCCCACTGTCACAATGTACTACAGCTTTCCCACTGTCACGATGTACTACAGCTTTCCCACTGTCACAATGTACTACAGCTTTCCCACTGTCACAATGTACTACAGCTTTCCCACTGTCACAATGTACTACAGCTTTCCCACTGTCACAATGTACTACAGCTTTCCCACTGTCAAAATGTACTACAGCTTTCCCACTGTCATGATGTACTACAGTTTTCCCACTCTCACGATGTACTACAGTTTTCCCACTGTCACGATGTACTACAGTTTTCCCACTGTCACGATGTACTACAATTCTCCCACTGTATCGATGTACTACAGTTTTCCCACTGTCACGATGTTACTACCTTCTCCCTACCACTGTCACGATGTACTCAATTATCCCACTGTCACGATGTACTACAATTCTCCCACTGTCACGATGTATAACATTTTTCCACTGTCACGATGTATTATAGTTTCCCACTGTCACGATGTACTACAGTTTTCTCACTGTCACGATGTACTACAATGTTGCCACTGTCACGATGTACTACAATGTTCCCACTGTCACGATGTACTACAGTTTTCCCACTGTCACGATGTACTACAATTCTCCCACTGTATCGATGTACTACAGTTTTCCCACTGTCACGATGTACTACAATTCTCCCACTGTCACGATGTACTACAATTATCCCACTGTCACGATGTACTACAATTCTCCCACTGTCACGATGTACTACAATTTTCCCACTGTCACGATGTATTATAGTTTCCCACTGTCACGATGTACTACAGTTTTCTCACTGTCACGATGTACTACAATGTTGCCACTGTCACGATGTACTACAATGTTCCCACTGTCACGATGTACTTCAATGGTCCCACTGTCACGATGTACTACAATGTTCCCACTGTCACGATGTACTACAATTTTCCCCTTCTCATGGCATGACCAAATAATGTAGACTCCCTTTGATTTAGGCAATCAGTTTATTTGTCATTTTTTGTGTGTGTTTTGTGTGAAGACATTTTCATTACTAATTTTAAATCAGTCCATGTTATTCTCATTATCCGTTCATAAAACACTATATCCACAGCCTCAATGCAATTTTTCACCAATAGACCCACTGTCCATGTTATTCTCACCATTCGTCTGTAAAATCACATCTCCACAGCCTCGAAGCAGTTTTTAACCATCGACCATGAGACACTTCTATGTATTAAGTAATGATTGATATAGATTTTAGGAATTATTTGCTTTCTTCCTCTGGTTTAAAAAAAAAAAAAAAAAGATTGTGTAGAATATTCTTGATAGCTATTCTTAAAAACACCATCTGTGTGATGTTATCAGGGTTCCCAAAAGTCTTCACTGTAGCTTGTTTGAGACCCCAAATACTCTGCCTTGCTTTTTGGGAGGGTTGTTTTCACGAAATTATATTACTTTTTTTTTGCTGCTGTTCAAACTAAGACCTTGTATTGACTTTATGTTGCAATTATGACTATAATTTCTTGCAATAGTTTTTTTTTTTTTCAGCCATCAAAACTACATCGTCAACATATCGCCGGTAGTTACCAATAAGTACGCCACTAGATATTCCTAGCATACCATGTGTGAATCTAATTATTGAATAACTGAATACATATTGTGATTGTACACATCTCTGTTTAATATCTTACTTAATGTTTTGTTGACAAGTTAAAGCTTTTTTTTTTCTTTAGACTGGTCTTATTGTCACATATTTTATATATTATATATATTATATAAAATATTTATATAAAATATATATATATAAAATTTATATATGGGTGTTTTTTGTTTTTTCCCCGTATTCTCGGTTTTTTCCATCATGTGAAAGGTTTTAAGGGTCCAAACAAGTTCTTTATGTTTCACTTTATCAACTGATTTAGGCTATTCAATAAAGCACAAATATAGACCAGTATTCAGTTCAATAATTCTTTCTGAAAGTGTTCTCAAGTCAAATATGGTGTTTGTGCCTCTACCTTAATAATAAAAAACCTAGTGCTCTTTTCCATTTTCTGGTTTAAGTATAAATTATTCTTCTCGGTATAATTCTCCTTAAATTCTAGTTATATGTTTGATTATGCTAACTTACCGATGTTCTCCGCCCTCCACTGCACCATTTGATTTTGGTAAAGGTCTGAGCTGTGCGAATTTGGGGTCATTTTTGCTGTATAGGGGCTCCAAAAATGGATTTATCGTGGGTAATGGAAACATTTAAACAAAAGCATAATGATATATCTTAAAATAAATTTTACACTACAAACGGATTACCCACAACAGTCGAGGCATTGACATTTTGCCACTGCCGATTTTGAACACTGGCAAAAACGTGAAAAAAAAAAAAATGTAAGAGGAAAAAAATAAATAGTCTAAGAAAGTAACGGCAAGCAGTCTGGTTTTATGGCATGCACCAACATTTACCAGATGGGACTGAGTCACGCACGGATAGAAGGTTTTGGCAGTTTTACAGTCGCAAGCGAATTTTAATTAATGTCAAAAGGGGAAAAAAGGGAAAGAAAAAAGGACGGAAATTTAATCCGGCAGTATAATTACTGAAAAACTATTCGCAACGTATGACATGGGTTTAAAGCGAATGTTGAAAAAAACAACCCCCCCTGGCACACAGACATAAAAT